AAAATGTGATCTAAACGTTAAAAGACCAAAACTGTTGCTCAAAGCTAAAACTAGCAATACTGTAGCTAAAAGCTAAAAATAGCAGAAGTGTAGCTCATTGCTAAAAGTAGCAAATACAGGTACCTAAATTTTGCTAAATAGGAGCTAAAAGCTCCAAACAGAGCCTTAACATAGTTAAGGCACATTTTAAAGAGAACAGTGTTTTTACAGTAGTCCCTCTCTACTTCACAGCTCGTTTATCGTGGACTCGCTCTATCGCGGTTTTTCAAAATAAGATTGAACATGACACACAGTTGGCTGATTGTTGGATGAGCTGCACAATCGGCATGGATTTTTTAAATTTAAAATAAATTATTTTAAATGATTTAGCGCCTGTGTGCAGCCCACAGCTGTGGGAGAAGCTTCCTCCTGCAGCTGATCAACTGATCTCCGTGCAGAGCAGAGAAGTGGGCGTGGCCGAGAGCGCAGCAGAGGCAGGGACCTGAAATCATGTCATTCTTTGTTCTTTTAGAGTGTTTAGATTTAGATACATTGCTTAGAATTTGCAAGAGTGCGATAAGGGTTTAAAACACCTTTTTATATATATATATATATATATATATACAGTAAACTACTACTTACTATTGTACTACTATTCCTATTTCACGTTTTTTTACTTATCGTGGGGCTTCAGGGTACGGATTGTAAAGGGAAACAAAGATCTCTGCTCCACTCCTGCCCGGATCGTTTGCTCGGAAGGAACACACGTTTATGTCAGAATTCAACGGCCATCTTTATTTATAGACTTCAAAATGTGTGAACAAGAGAGAATTGTTTTATATTTCCTGAATTCAGAGGCCGTCTGTACAATTCTGAGGTGCTCAAGTCTGTTCCCACATTTATAAACTGGTTTTCTCCACCCAGTGATATTTCCTGTTTTCAGTTCCTGTCCAGTAAACACCTTAGACCCTCTGAAGTCCCTGTCCAATCAACCAGGTACACATTAGGTGTCCTCTCTTTCCACTGAATCTGTGACACCTTACAAGCACCAATCTTATATAATCTTACAAAGACTGTGACATTCTGATTATCCCCTTGGCAACCTGTTACATTATCAAGTCTTTAGATTGCTCCACTAAGAGCCAGGGTCGCTCTGACCTATTAAGCTACTCTCTTACGCATTATTAATTATTTTTTGATCCCCACCAACACTCAAATGATGTGAACTATAATTTAATTTCAGTTACCTGAGCAAGAACCTTTTTGATGTTTTGTTTGTCATTAAAGGCCTCATTAGAAATAAGTAACTATTTTCCCACTGACAGCTGAAAGTGTCATGGTTTGATTTTAAAGTTAGCATTCCTTGAAAATATATTATTTATCGACTTATGGCCACATCTAACAGAAATTCTAGCCATCTTTATATGTCCTATTTTCCATAATTTATAATTAAACCGTATATTCACCAATCCATATTATGTTGTTTTCCACCATTTATCATCAAAAGTTATTTTATTCCCAACAGGATCTCCCGTGATAAACGAGGGACTACTGTATAAGAAATTGAAAAGATCTCAGTGTATTTCTATAGGATTTTTTCCTATGAATAAAATTAAATACGTATCAAAGTTACAAACACTAAAGGTCATAACTATTCCCAATTGAAACGGGAGTACTGCAAAGTGTCAGCCCTCCAGATGAGTTGACCCTTTTTAGATGAATTAATTAGTGTTTAATATTAGCTAATGTAGCGTTCCTTCGCACAGGTCATTTGTGGGAATATAATAAGCCTGGAAAAACATGAAAACAACCAGGCCCTCGTTTAGCTAGCTATTAGCCTAGCCTGTATGAAAACCTCTTCCCTTTTCTCCATTCAATGATTGATATTGCATCTGATAAGATATTGATAACTATTTGGCAGAAAATCATTTTAAAAATGCTAAATGTATCTCGTTTAGCCCGCTGCGCAGTGCCTTGTAAGGAAAGCCGTCTGCATCACGGCCCCGTGAGCCATGGTTTATTGATGGTGCTGAGATGTTTGCCTGTAGTTGAGACTGTGACGCAGACACTGATCGTTCAGTTCCCATGGTTGCCCCAACCTAGACGCAGCGGCCATAGCTCACCAAAGGAAGTCTGCTGATGAAATCATCAGATCCGCCACCTTCCCCGCTGCCCATGCTCCCTCTCCGGACGACAACTCGCAGAGTGAGGTTGACTGCTGGCCCCGCTCCCTCGCTGTGTTAGGTACAGTAGGCCGCTGATGGGTGTTTGCACTTCTTCCTGCCGGTGAAACGGGACTCACCACAAACCAGCTCTGCTTTTTTTTTTTTTTCTTACCTCGAGCTGCTCCACCGGCTTGACTGCATCCCCGCTTTACTCCGAGCTCACGCCGTTATTCGGACACCACGGTGTTCGCCGCCTAAGTTTGCTTCGAGCCAAAGCGTCGTTGGGTTTCTGTTGCCGCCATGTTGTTTTCTGCTTGAGGTAGCGCCATTTTTGCTTTCTTTTTTTACATGACGGGCGCTTCGGCTACGCGCAACAATATCACAAATGACTTGGACAGAGATAACTGAGACCGACTTCAAACTGTTTTGTTTGTCTGTCGCACATTTTTCTGTATTCGACATCCACAAAATCTTTGACATGAATGATGATGTGTTATCAACTGTCATGTCTGCGTGGCCAAATATTCCAGTAAGTCCTTCTGTTCGTCTGTCTCGTCAGCTCTGTCTCAGATTTGTGTTAAAACTGCCCACCTCATCGTTTATTATCTCACATCCCCACAGCCAAAACCACGTGTTTCGTTTCCCCCCCTACGTCCCGTTGTTTGGTATACGTCAAGCATGCTTTCCTTCAGGTGCGCGTGAACGTGCGTTTTGTGTAACTTTGTTTTCCCGTTTGACACCCAAAGGTTCAGAGGGGAGGAGGAGATCTAGAGAAGATGAGGAGGAAGAGGCTTTGAAAAGAAAGCAACTTCAGGAAGAACATCTCAGTAAGGTCAGTCAGGGGACAATCATTATCCCCTCACCAGGGCCAATGTTGGATAAAAATATCCTTGCATTATCTGCTTGCTTAAAAGGAGCTCACACGACGACTGAAGATTTTTCAACCCAGTTTACTTGCAAGGGCAGACGGTCACAAAACAGGCTTATACATATGTTCAAAGTGACATGCTTAAAGCCCCGTCATGAGAATCTGCAACGGGCGGTGTACAGGAAGTGTTTTTATAATCCTTATCAGCACGATGACCTCGGCCTCTCAGGCTCTGAGGCATCAGGTGCTTGCAGGCTCTTCTTTGAGAGAGAAAAAGATCTCTGTCCTCACACACATATGGTTCATCGTTAATTTAACATTAGCAGTGATGCATATCCATAAACCTTAATCTAAATTCCCCTGACGGAGCCGCCTCCAGAACCTGCAGAACATTGTCAAAGAGGTGGTCAAATGGAGGCAGCTGATAATCTTGGGGTTCCACCACAAAACCAAAAGTAATAAGAGAATTTTAGGAGTTGTGTTATGCTGTGATGGGGAGTAGAGTCAGTATTTCACTGGGCTGCAACTGCTGGTGGCTAGTTGGCAAATGGCATTATCAAGGGGAGTCTTGAAATGTTCACAGGATTCTTCACAACAACGAAGTCACAAAGGTTTGCAGTTTTACATCATCCATCCAAACATACCATACCACTTTATTTATAAAGAACTTACAAACAGCAACAAGGCCGATCAAAGTTCTGCAAAACAAAACAAGCAAAGGACACACGATAAAATACATAGATTCAAATAGGTAAAGATAAGAACTAAACAGTCGGGAATAAAAGTGAGTTTTTAAATGAGATTTAAAAACAGTGAGAGAGGGAGCCTGTCTGACGTGCAGTGATAACTTGTTCCACAGTCTTGTGCAACAGAGAAGGTTCTGTCACCTCTGAGCTTAAAACAAGTATCTGGAACCAATAAAAGCATCTGGTCTGCTGACCTCAGAGAGCGCTGTGGGACATATGGCTGCAGCAGATCAGCGAGATAAAAGGGGGCAGAGCTGTTCAGAGATTTAAAAACATACAGAAGGGTTTTAAAAGTGAACCAGGAGCAAGTGACGGGAGGCCAGAACCGGAGAAATGTGCTCTCTTTTGCCTGTACCAGTTAAAAATTGGGCTGCGGCATCTTGAACCAGTTGTAATCGAGCAGTGGAGGTCTGACTGATTCCACAAAGAAGACAATTGCAGTAAACAAGCCTGGATGTTATGAAAGCATGGATTACTGTCTCAAGGTAACGTCCATCATCTGTCACTTGTTCCAGAGAAAGCAGCATGAGATTAGAGGTTCAGATATTACCCACTTCTTCCAGCTCTTCTGGGAGGACTCTAAGGTGTTCCCAGGCCAACCGAGAGACATAGTCTCTCCAGCGTGTCCTGAGTCTTCTTGGAGGTCTCCTCCCAGTTGGACATGTCTGGACACCTCCCTAATCCATGGTCCATCCTTACCAGATGTCTGAACCACCTCAACTGGCTCCTCTGACTGTGGAGGAGCAGCGGTTCTACTCCGAGTCTCTCCTGATAACTGAACTTCTCACCTCATCTCTAAGGAAGAGTCCAGCTACCCTGCAGAGGAAACTCATTTAGACCGCCTGTATCCACGATCTTGGGTTTTGTCGCTACAATGAGCTCATGACCATAGATGAGGGTAGGAACGTAGACTGACCAGTACACGGAGCTTCTTCTTGCAACTCAGCTTTTTCATCACCACAACGGACCGGCGCAGAGTCCACAATACTGCAGGAGCTGCACTGATCCGTCAGTCCATCTCACGCCTCATTCTTCCCTCACTCAAGATACTTGAACTCCTCAACCCGGAGATCGCAGCCTTGATGCTTAAATGTCAACAACTTGATTTCTGTAAATTGTAGTGGTGCAGCTCTGGTTTGACACGGAAGATCTCCGTCAGAAAATAATAAATGTTGTTTTTCTTTCGGCTGCTCCCTCCTGCAGGGGTGACCACAGCGAGCGAACTCGCGTGAAAGATTTAGCAACTGGGAATTTTAGGGAATTTTCATTTGATGTAGGCCTACTTTAACGTCTTTATTTTACATTTATTTCTACCAGCTAAAACCAGCGCAGCCTACTTTACTTATCAAAGCTTGTTTTTTAATCTCTCATTCAATAAACAAAATACAAATAATGTTGTCAAGCTAGGGGTGGCTACTTGGGTGTGGGGTGGGGGGACACCACAGCGCTTCTCCTAGTTTACTTGCCTTGGCAAGGCGCACATATCTACCATGATTTTTGTAGACGGAGGGCGGCTCAGCGTGAGACAAACGGAGGTAGCTTCCTGTAGCTACTTAGCTAGCGCGTCTTTATTGTGCGCCGATAGCTTTGCGCTACATCAGTGCCGGCAGCTGTCGACACAGTTGTCAGTTCAGATTGCAGGGCGCTCAGTTCTGTTGACAGGGCGGGGCGCCCTGCTTGTATGACGGTAGGGGAAACCTCACCAAATTTATATTCCATGCCCATCACCAAAAATACAGTACGACTGTCATAAAAATGTGCTAGAACTGCATAAAATGTCTAGAGTTTGTATGATTCGTCTTTGTAAACTAACAGAAAATGTTTGACGCTTTTGCAGATTCAGTCTGGTTTAGGTAAACTCATTCTGAAGGAGGAAATGGAAAAGGAGCAGATTAGGGAGCGACACGCTCGTAGCCTCTCCGCTCAACGCTACGATCCCAAAACGAGCAACTGCGATGCAGGTAAAGCCGCTTCCTCAGCGGATTTACTCTTGATTTGTCAGCGACGTGCATCGCAACACCTGTACTGTGCATCCTGCCGTTTATCAGCCAGACCTTGAATCTCTTACTCTGCTTGAATAAACAGACTTAGCTCAACATCCTGATCCTTCTTTCAGATCGAACATCTCCAACCAAGACCAACTCTTTGCCGGGGTACAGACGGAACGGGTTACATCGGGTGAGAGCAGACGGGAAGAACAAAAGTCCAAAATGAAAGCAGCGCTAACTCTTAAACCGCTCAATCATAAAACCATGTTTGTCTGAAATCAGCAAGCAAATGCATGTTAATGTGCTGTTGTCTCTGTTCCTTCAGCCTCAGTCAACAGATTTCACCCAGTACAACAGCTATGGTGACATGTGTGGGGGAGGCCGAGGTGAGAGCTTCGATCCAAACCTAGCTGCCAAACCAATCTCTTGTCAGCTTCACCAGAGCTGGTCAGCGTCAGAACTGGCTTGCTGTATGCACAGAGACAGATACATTTGATTTTCGTGAACAAAAACAAAGCAGTTGTGTAGATAGCAGTCTGGCAGGGGACCCGACAGCAAACCATTAACTGTGAGTCTCATTTTCTGTCCCATTTTGTCCTGCAGAGTTTCAGGTATGTCTCTCATCTGCTTCTTCACGTGGCATGCCTCCTCATCCTGCATCAAAAACACGCTTGGTTGCAAGAGACGCCTTCCCCTGAATGCCCCTGAATCGCCCACGCTTGCCTCTTGCTTGCGCCACTGTTGGATAAACGTCAACCACAGGGCACGTTGTGCTGTTTGTAAAAAGACTAGTAGGAGCGAGCATGCAGTGCCCCGTAGCCGAACCTGTGGTCGACCATTTCCTCGTGTCCTGTTCTGCGTGTTGCTCATCGGTGTGATGACTCAAGCTGTGTTTTATGAAAACATGATTCAAATTTAAATTCAGCACGTGAAAAGTAACCACAACCAGAGAAAACTGCATTTTCTGCAGGAAAAAAAAAAACAGTGTGAATGCCGAGTGCCGAATTACTCTGCTGAAATTTATTCAGAATAATTTGTTGAAGTTAAAAACAAGCGGAACAGAAGCTAAAATCAGCTAAACTATAGCTAAACACTCATTTTAGCAAAACCATGACTGTCAGCTAAAATGAGCATAACCCTTGCTTAAAGGTAGTATCAGCTAAACCATT